CAAGCATTGTATATGCAATTGTTGCATCACAACGCTTTGCGTCACGTCACGAAGCGGTGGTCGTCTCATTCGATATGAGCGACAACCGACCGGGGTTCAAAGGCTGGCCCGCAAAGGGTTCGAGGCCGCCTCGCATCAAACAGAGCCAGGGGAGAAAACGCAGATGAGACCTAGCGGCCCTCGCCTGATCCGCTCAAAAGTGGACAGAGTCATCTCGACCTTCTCGTTCGATCTTGACCTCAAGCCATGCCCATAGAATCTCCATCGAGGGGAGGCCAGCGGGCCACCTAAGTTAGTCTCTGGAACGACTCGGGCATCTACCGGGAGGTCGGTTAAGGAGAAGTGGAGTGCCACATGAGGGCTATGCCGACCCCGTCATGAACGACGGATCTAGATTCCACTCAGACATACCCGTTAACAAGCTCACCAAAGCTCGCCACTCGAGCCATCGAGGCAAGTGGCGTCAGCTCAACCCCTTTGGTTGCGGAAACTATGGATGGGGTGACGCAGGAAAACATGCAACCGACCCCGACCGACCCCTACTTAGGAACCCGACCGACCACATAGGTTGCGGTCAGAACAGACACGGGCGAACACCCCGACCGGAAGGAACACAAGAGTCCGTAGCCCCAGAAAAGAGTACCAAGGTGCTTAGCCTCCGACTGACTCTCTAGCCGACTGTAGGCTTGGGGACTATGCCCACCTCCATCTCGCTCGACCCTTGGGTTCGTGCTTCGTCTCGCCCGACCCCATGTCAGCGGGCTCCAACTCGCCCCACCATTGGGTTCGCGCTCCATCTCACCCGACCCCTCGGCCGCGGGCTCTGTCTCGCCCGACCCTTGGGTTCACGCTCCATCATGCCCGGCCCTAAGGCTGCAGGCTTCGTCTCGCTCGAACCCTCAGCCGTGGGCTTCGTCTCTCCTGACCCGTTGGGTTTGGGCTCCGTTTGTGAATAGCCCCTTCACGGCTTCACAGAAGTCACAAAGGGGCTCAGGGGCTCCTTTCGGGTTCATAAACTTGGGGTCCCCAATGGACCCGCTTCCCTACAAAACCCAGCCCAATAGGCGGTGTAGCAACAATGCGCGCCTGGGTCGGCCCAGATACATAATGACAGGTCAAGACAACGATCCAGTCCCCGACCGGAAGGCCTGGCCAAGGTGGGACCACAGTTCGACTCCGACCTCCTTCTCTGACCGAGGATATGTCGGACCTCTGCTCGCTGCTCTTTCTAGACCGACACGGTCGGGGCCAATTGGGAACGATCGACCAGGGACACCCGCTCGGTGAAGGCCCTAGGATCAGGCAGAGCAGATAAGATAAGGCGCTCAAGTCAACCGCAATACCGAGAACCGTACCCTACCATGCCCTGCGCACCTGCAGGACGGTGCCACCAAGCCATGCCAGACAGGCACTATACGACCTTCCAGACGTGTCAGAGCACAAACAGTATTGTAGGCGCCGACGTTTGCCGTACCAGGCAAACATGGTAGAGCCTGCCAGATGCGTCTGAACATATACAGTATTGTGGGCACCGACGACCGTCTTGTACCTGACAGCGATGGGCAACAAGACTAGGTAGCACAAGTATACACTCTCTCTCTTTCTCTCTGACTTGTAAGGCCATCCCTTTCAACTATAAAAGGGGATGCACTCTCTCCCAACAAAAGGGTGTGAGGCAACTCTAGGACTCGATGACCTGAGGACTCGAACATCTCAATAGCTCTAGAACTCGATAACTACACAGAGCATACGCTCCAATACTTAGCGCGCGTTAGAGCACCCGTCACTCTCGGCCACTCGGTTCGAAGTCTGACCGGGCCTCTAACACCCCCCTTTTCATTCCCTACTCGTTTGTAATCCCACAACAAACTTCGAGCACCTGGGCTCAGGAATAAAGTCACCGACTGATTAAAACTGGACGTAGGGCACATTGCCTGAACCAGTATAAATCCTGTGTCATTGAGTGCTAGGCCACATCCGATCACAACGCACAGTAAAACTCCAAATATTTACTTGTTGGTCACTTTTCGCACCGATACCTAGCAACGGTAGAAGTCGAGTATGAGAAGGGAACTCATTCTCGCGCGTGTAGGATGCTACACTGGGATAATTAATCACTAAAAGCAATGAGGGTACAACTTGACTTGCTTCACTAATCTGGCTAAGGCACAATAACACCGAAGGCCAAAACTTGGATATTACTTTGATAACTTCCCTCGTGTGAGGGGTAGGTCGTTGTGAGTGTGGGATCTCAAATGACGTAGCTCGTGAAGCAGTTAAGGACCATTTATTGGGATACGTGAGGCCGAGTAATCACCCGTACAGACCACATGTCGCGGATGGGGTCGGCAAGCCAAGTAACTAATTGCGACCGGTTTATCTATGAAACTGATAAGGGGGTGGCGTCGGTCGGGAATGTCTAAGACATTGATCGGGCACCAGTCGAACTTTTCATAGGACACTCAGGCCGGATTAGGGAAAGGTTGGAAGATGTGAGGCAACCCTTACTCTCGTGCAAGGGTATGGTGGTTAGTGTGTTCTTTCGTACACCTCTGTGGAGTTTTGAAAGCCTGAAGTCCTTCAGGACGGAACCATTCGGTTGTTCCTACTTTCTATACCCATGGTAGAGTTAATGATGAATCTAGAAGATGATGTATTTCACTTTTGGAAATGTCTTTATTCCGAGCCATTAGCATGTCATCTTTAAGAAACGCCATTGCTTTTCTGCAAACATACAAATACCTAATAATTACCTGTGCATCCACCAAATATCTATGTATTGGAATTAAGTCCTGCGAGTACGCAATGTACTCACGGCTTTGCCGTTAGCTGTTTTGCAGGTATGCAAGGCATTCCTTTGAGATTAGCTCCAAAGAATGCCATGGTTAGTAGACCTTGGATTGGGCAAATCCAAGACGAGCTGCGTGTAACCCGATAAGTAGAAGAGTGAAATGAGGTGTAACCTAGATAGAAGGCAGAAGGTAGATAGAGTGCTAATGTTAATACTAGGTTTGCGTCTTAATCTTATGATATCATCAATAATGTTTCAGTATGTATTGAAGACTAGAGTATGCATGTATTTGAGTTGTTCGAAATGCCTTGTATCGGGTGTGTGTGTAACTCAACGCAAAGATCTAGAAGAGGAGTTGCTACGTGCGCTCCTGGGGGCCTCGCGGTGGCAGTTTAACGACGACCCCCGACAGCGGCTGCAGTGGTGCGGCCCGACGTCGGCAGCGGCGGGGACATGGGGGTAGTCTGTGGAGGCGTTCCAGTGCCAAAGCCCACGGCGGTGGGCTCGACGCTACTGTTGGATGTGGTGGCCCTGGCGGTGCGGCCTGGCGTCATCACCTGCGTGCACGGGGAGCTGCAGCTGCTGTTGGTCGCCGCGGCGGTGGGGACCATCGTCAGTAGTGGCGAGGATGGAGAGGGAGTCCGCGGATGCGCTCCGGCACCGGATCCGGCGGTGGTGGGCCCGGCAGCGCACACGGCGACTGCTCCCGATGTCGGCGGCGGCGTTGGCGGTTCAGGCTCCCGGCTTCGGTGGAGGCACGGATCGGCGTCGGGGGCAGGGAGTGGAGGGGAGGTGGATGAGGAGGGGAAGGAGGAGGTGGATGGGGAGGAGGGGGCGGGGGCGCCGGCGTTGGGGCCGGCGCCAGCGCAGCGGCGTGGTCGGGACCCTCAGGGTGCGGGTCGGGGTCAGGGGTGCCTGAGCCGAGGTATCAGTTGTTAAGTCGTGTTGCTGTGTTGTATTATTGTTGTTGTTTTACGTAATCTAGATTCATTTTTAATATAATATAATAGGGACTGTTGGATTCATTTTAAAAAAAACTTGTGCGGTTGTTTGGCATTGCCATACTGAGGATATCTCAGGATTCAGGGGTGAGTTGGGTGACAGGATGTAATCTAGACTAAAAATACTTGTCGTTAGAAATAAGCAGATTAGCAGTGAGCTGGATAGCCAAGAGGTACACTCATCTCTAAAAGTCTGCTAGTTTTTGTCCCCAGAGGATAAAAATCTCTGCTGTTGCACAGAAAAAATATTAGATCAAGTGTATAGTTCACTAAGTCGCCAGGTAATTTATATATACATTCATGGGCGCGCATGAAGACCTTCAGATCAGATCACCGCATTACGTTTTCATCAAATCTCTCTGTAGTGTAGATCACCCATTCTGTTAGCAGTTACGTAAAAATGTTCTGTAAACAGCACCGAACGTGGGACTGGCTCGGGATCGGTGGACTGATAGATCCACTGTCCTGATAGATTAACAAAGCCTCCAGTATTGTAACCCCACTTGGCAATTCATCTAATCGGCTGGCACCCACTGTTCGTGCACTGTCCTTTCCTGCAATTTGCCTATATTTTTTTGTTTCTGAAAGCAGCAATCTAAGTGTAAATAAACACGCACGCATCACACCTATGTTGGAGAGCTTCGTCCTCAGTGCGAAGCATATGGCAATCATAGTACTAGAGAAACCCCTCATAAATAAAAAAATATATAGCTTGAGGAACCAATTAGACGAAATTGGAATATACAAATCAAGTGTAAAAAATCTGTATGCATGATGGCCAAACCCCAAAAAGAAAATGGCAGTGTTCCTCTAGAGACCTATATAATTAATGGGTACATGATTATTGGGTGGCAGATTCATCTGCTCGAATCTAATATCTGTAACACTACTAAACTTATCAAAAGACCCCGCAACCATCTTGACTTGGAACAAAATGGAACCATAAAGTATTAGTATTAGTCACGTTGTACTGCACCGAGTAGCCGAGCTCGAAACTAAAGCCCCCCCCCCCCCCCCACCCCCCACCCCGGGCGTCCGGTGGTCCGGTGACCATGAAAGCGACATAGCTAGGTGTCTGCCCTCGCTCCCCTCCGCTTCAATTCCCAACACAGCTGCCGCGCAATACAGCAGTTGGTGCGCAGGAGCTCCAAGGTAGCTAGGAGACGAGGAGGAAGAAGAAGAATAGGGTCGTCGCCCACTCGCCGCGCATGAAGAGGGAGCAGTCCTTTGAGTTTGGGGATCCCAGCGCCCCGCAAGATGCTATGGGGGATCTGCCTCGGAGTCGTCTTACAGCCCTCCCGGAGCTGTCTTTGGGCTCTCCCCACCGGAGTCCTCGCCGCGCAGCGGCCGGCATAACAGAAGGTACACGCACAAACCGATGAGCTGATAGATACTGTATCTTCTTCAGCTCTTAATTTGCTAAACAAGCAGCATGCTTATCTAGTGTAGACTATGTAGTGCAGTGTGGATTATCGTGGCTGTTAATTGGCTTCTTGCTTTCTTGCTTGTTTTCGGTCGTTTCCTTTTGTTTCTCTACTTTCTGACTGCCCTCTCCAGATCTTGATGAGCCTGCTGCCTGCTGGTTGGTTTTAGTTCTGTGTATTGTTGTAGCGTTCTATCTTTTTCATTTTTTTTAAGAAAAGTGAGCTGTTCTATCTTCTTCATGTTCATATGTACTACTAAATCTATCAGAATGTGTGTCTATAGATGGCTAGAACTATTTCCGTCTTCAAGTTTGTGCCGATTCATAGACAGGATTTCAGAAAAGAAACAATAACATACAAGGTCACAAGTCGATGATCATAGGTCAATTCTCGTTTATATTAAGTAGTACAGAGTACAGTTGGATGGCATCGTCGTACTATGTTTACAACTCAGACTTAATAGTTTATTTTGCTAAAAACAGTACAATACAGTGGCGTTGGAATAGGACAGTAAGGGTCAACTAAATGAATATAATGCATATGCAACCCCATCTTGTTTCTCTCATACATCCTTCGATCCTAGCTGCTACCAGACTGATGATGGCTAGCTAGTTCCATTCCTGAGTGTAACTATATTTCATGGACTGGGAAAAGAACCTAATGCATGCATGATAAAGATATAAATTTGCACATATGTGGGGATTCCATCCGCACTATGGTCAAAATACAGCATTTTTTTTAAGAGATTAGAATCATCGTATAATCCTTTGTTGGGAATTCTTCATATTTCCCTTAGAAGAAGCATATTCTCCATCCCTCAGCCAGGGTCATTTGTAGTGAGACTTCAAACCCCAAAGCAACCTTTTCCTATAACTTTTTTCCCATAGTGGAGGGCTCCTTTGTTTAAGAGCCTTAGATAACTGGTACTACTAAACTTATGTGCTTTTGCACATTTTAATCATGCTTATATTGAAAAGGGCTGCACACACATAGTGACCCCCTCACTATCCTCTACCATTCTTTCTTTTTTCTTTCCTTTGAACATAAGTCTAGGATTGATTAATGTTTTATTGGGACTTAGCAAAAGCTACATTTCCCTTCCAAATGTGAAATAAGATGAAATAAAAAGAGGTAGGACTTATCATGTATGCAAAGTCATCAGTGCTGATCATGCAACCTAAGGGCTTTCAGACATACAATTTGTACTTCACGTGAATTTTCATTGGCATCATCGTAGTTTCAAAATGGAAGGTACTCGCTCCATTCCAAAATATAAGTCGTTCTCTTTTTTAGATATATAATGAAAGTTATATATCTAGAGACCTAACATATATCTAGATGTATAGTAAAAGTTATGTATGTATAAAAACCAAAATGGTCTATAATTTAGAACGGATAGAGTAATAAATATAATGATTATGTATATATAGCCATAGTGGTGCGGAAAAATCATGGCAGCGTATGCCTGAATATGATTAACAAGTTCATCGCACATTACGTGTTCATGCATTCTTCATGGATCTACCAATGCAAGGAGAACAAAAGACAGGAAAGCGACATAAATAATTACTAGGACCAAGAGGTGACATTAGTGTTTTTCTCTTTATTACGGTCCTTGGAAGGTATTACGATCACAATTAAACTAATGCTGCCTTGGAAGGTAGGTCGTCATTGTACCTTATTACTTCCCTAATACTATTATATACAGTAGTAATATATCGGTCTTTCTTGTTACCTTATAAGGATAGTAATAAGAAAAGCAAAACTTGAACCTGTTTGCATTCATGCCCCGCTTTTTTTTTTTTTTTTTCTTCTCACTACACAATAATCTATAGTAGGGTCATTCTTTTCAGGACGACTGAACAATGCTGACCTTCAAATTCATCACCGTATTATATTAGTTATGGCACCTATTTATGATCCACTTGTAGGACGTCTTTGCAGAAATGAACACAAGATATACTAATAGAAATCTTTCACCAAACTTTAAACATTGCAATTAATTCTCTATCAGCAATCTTATCTACGTTTTCTATACATGGGCCATCTAGACAGAACCTTTAAACTTTTCCTTCCTAGTGCCACATGTTATATATCTCCATTTTTATATTCTTGCTCATGTTATTATATCTCCTATAAAACACAGATGGAATTATTGAGAAAGTATAATTTTTGCTATACTTATCTTATTTACCTATATAGTTTTCGAATAATGTTGTAGGAGGGATAGACCTTCATGGGTCAGACTGACATACACACCTTATTTTGATGGTCATTTGTGGCGAAAATATGGGCAAAAGAAAATCAAGGATGCTGAGCACCCTAGGTAATGGACTTGTCAAGTTTTTTTTAAAATTGTATTAGTTCATATGGAAAACTTTTAAATATTATATTATTCCAATCAAACTGCTCCATCGCACTTCTTTTGATATCATTTGATTATTATATTAATATATATAGTATTGATACTCATGACAAGTGATTTTAGACACTCTAATAAGAGAAGAAACAGGAGCATGTACTATGTCAGCTTATTTTCTTTTCAATTGATTAAGCTAGTCGGTAATCTAGTTGATCATTATGATATTTAAGCAAAAACAACTCAGTTTGATGACATGAACCCATTAAATCTGCAAAGATAACTATAAAATCTTAACCATAAGGCATAAATTTCAGAAGTTGTAGAAAAGAAGTGTTTATTGTAACCCTCTCAACTATATGGCTTACTTCCCCAAAAGATTAATAGTTGAGCATCTAGCTGTTTCTATTACTTGGTGAAAAGCACATTTTGAGGTACATTCACTATAGATTAATACTTGATAAGGAAGAAGATAACTGTTTCAGTGGCTTTCTAGTTCCTTACAGTTCTTTGTTCCACCGTGAAGACTGAGCCAACAAAAGTAGTTCTCGCGTGATCCATACGCACGTGCATCAGTCTCCCATCACTTCGTCAGCAAAACCCTCATCCACTCCCCTTCATCTATCACTGCCATTCCACTTGCCTCCTTTTGCAATTTCTTTCTCAGACCTTATTTGACTGCACTCTAATCCATCCCAATTTACATGTATTGAGATAGAAAATTATTAATTTTCTGTCCAAAATATATGTGGACTGAGGTGGATTGAAGTGCAGCCAAACACAAGGCCTCATTAAGCCCAACATGGATATTGTGTATTCTCATATCGCCACCTTTGCCGCCACACAATACTAGGTCGTCGATTAGTCAAGCATTGTTAAGTGTCAACCCTATAGTAGGGGTTCAAGGATAAGGATGATAAGGATGTTGTTGTTATCGACACTAAGCTCAATTTGAGGAGAAAGAGGAGCAGAAAGGAAGATAGTGTTGCCACGACGAGCAGGAGCGTACCATGTTCTCTCGTGATGAGGATGTCGACGACAAGGTGGCGATATAAGGATACAATGTGAAGCTTGATCTCAATGAATTCTTAGTGCAAAACATGAACGTGGGGGCATAGGATGGAGTAGCCATCGTGCTCAAATGTATGGAGGAGGCGCATAGGCATGCACGGCTAGGACGAGGCTGCTAGCTGCTAGCTAGTTTATATATTGCTAATTTATTGCTTGATCCATATACTTCTGAACTTGTTAACCCAAAGTTATATATTTTGATATCCCATCACACAACCTAATCTAGCTCCATATGCATCCTTTCTCCAAATTAGCTATAGATGTCCCTAGTTTGGATTCCTAGTAACATGCATCTTTTGTACTCGTCGTCGTTTGGACATCAACTAACATACCGTTCTCACTTAATATAGATGTCCTAGTTTGTATAGATGTCCCTAGTTTGATAAAGCACTTAAGAGCATCTCTAAGAGATTAGCCAAATCGTTTTCTAAAGGTAAAATTTAGTTATTATTAAAGGAAAAACATTTCCAATGGACTGTATAAATGACTCTTCAAATTTAGTAGTTCTTCATCCCACCTTATTCGCTCTCTACTTTTGGATAGCCTACCTCACTAGCCATCTAACCTCTTAGTTTTAGAGAGTCTGTTGGAGTACTCTAGTATTTTTTATCAAATCTATTTTAGAGAGTAGCTAAATCAGTAAATTTGGCTAGTCTTTTTGGCTAATCTCGTGGAGACGCTCTAATAAGCTGGCTTTGGGGATGCTCAAATAGTGGCGTTGACAAGTAGGAGTACTTATATACAAATTAAAGGTCAAAACGAACAAAATTAGTTGATTTACATAACTCCTACATATAATGGATTGTGAAATATATGCTCATGCCGCAGGCTATACTTCAGATGTTCTTACCGTGAGGACAGGCAATGCCTGGCCTCTAAGCTGCTGCAACAGAAGAACGGCGACGACCCACCACTGTACGAGGTGACCTACACGTACGAGCACACGTGCGGCGCACCGCCCGTCTCGTTTCCGGATATCGTGGCCGAGCCGCCGGCCGCCAGGGAAGGTCTGGTGCTCAGGTTCGATTCCCCCGGCGGCCACGGCGGCGACGCACGGATGCAGCAGAACGGACACTGCCAGCAGTCCACGTCTCGGAGTCCGTTCATGATGCTGAGCTTTGGTTCCAGTAGCCAGACGCACGATCACCAACCTGCCGTCTTCCGCTCTGACTTGGATGCCGCCGGATCGCCGTCGTTTCCCACCGAGGGGCTGCCGGCGCCACCACCGGCAAACGGCGACGGTGGGGACATGTTCTCGACATTGAACTCCTTCGCATATGATTTCGACAATCAAATGCACTTCGGCGATCACACGTATTTACCTCATAATAATAGTAATCACGATTATGATGATTACTGATCAAATGTGTGTAAGCACTGCGAATCGCATGTCTCGTTACAAGAAGTAGCGTCCTTCGATCTTTATTATGTGAAAGTATATTTATAAGAAACTGGTATATATGGATGTCTACCTGCTCACGTAATTAAGTACGGGAATATATATACATTTTTTGTCCTAATTAAAGTGATTAATTATGCCTAATCCACCTTTTACCTAAACTAATCATTTGAGCTGAGCATGGTCTGTATCATCTTATTTCTGATTAAAAATGGAAAAAAGGCTGTGTTGTTATCTCCTTATACTCATTTTTTTCTTCCTTATATACATGGAGTCTCAAGAAAAGACTTAAGTTTTTACTGCTGAGTAACCATGTTAAGTGTCACGGAGATTCAACATTAAACTCTAATAAGCAACCATGTTAAATGCCATGGAGTTCAACATTAAAGTCTAATTGGACAACCTAGATGAAGAATAGAGATGAGTTAGAGCTAGTATGTGACCATTGGTGTTGACTATTGTTGTGGCTCGTGTGTTGCACCGTAACATCTGATGGCCTTGATCTTTTTAGGTCTTCGGTTGTGCTCGCTCTCTGGTGTGCATCTGATGATCTGTCGGGTGATTATATCATATGGTGGACACTATCTTCCTGCCCGACTTACTGGTGACTCCACCATATGATCTAGCAGGCCTGATCAAGTGATCTAGTGAATTATGTGGTGAAGAATATAATCTTCATGGTTTCTTCTTCATTTTAACTCGATCTTGATCAAACTTTAACATTACATCTCTAGGACCTATTATTACATGTTTAACACATATTTAGCACATATGTTAGTCATAGGATTGTGTTGTTATCACATTCAACAAAACTAAAAGATTTGATCATGGGCACATGATCTTTACAGCGGCCACTCCTTTGTCACCCTTGGAAAGCTCACCCTCACCAGCTACGTCCTTGTTGTCAACACACCGACCTCACCCACTCGGACTGGCGCACATGGATTACATTGTCCTATCATGGTTCAGCGACACTATCGCCACTAACTTCATCAAGATAGTGATGTCAGCATGGACCATTACATGGACCGTCTGGCTTGCCCTAGAGAACCAATTCATTGGCAACCGAGAGATATGGGCATTCTACCCGGATGTAGAGTTTAGTAACTTCTCCCAAAGAAACCTCCCCATAACGAATTATTGCTGCCAGCTTAAGGGCATGGCTAATGGCCTCAGAGACCTCGTGAGGCATGTCCAAGATCACACCCTAGTCCTCGTTTTGATCTATGGACTTGATGAGAAGTTCATGTCAATTGGGCTTCATATGCAACGTGCCCGCCCCTTTTAGTCCTTCCTCGATACTTGGGTTGATCTCCTACTACAAGAGCTCAGCATCCTAAAATACTCATCCATGTTGCCCCTCCACTATCAAGCAATAGCCTTCCTCCAGCGGATCTAGTGGTGTGAGGGCTTCCGGGGCAGGCAACCTCGCTAGCTCCAGCCCACAACTGTAGCAACTCCCCCCAGGCTTTGGGGCCGATCCTAGCAAGCAGAGTGGATGCCAAAGAAAACACGACAATTACATCACTAGTTTAACGCTTCAGACCCTAGCATAGCGCCAATGGCGCATCCTTCGTCCCTGATAATGCTCCCAAACCAGGGACTCTCTAGAGTAGGCCCTAGAGTGTGTCGGTGGCCCTTCAACCCTTGGACCAGGTCCATACAAATGTGGCCCACCCTAGGGGCTCCAATGAGCCATGTCACTAGCACAACCTAGCAGCCTCACTAGGTGACTTTGGCTATATATTTATCATAAACAATATTTTTAATACTCCAACTGTTCAAATTATAGATGACTTTGGCTATGTCCATATCAAACTTCTCTACTTTGATCAAGTTTCTAAAAAATATCAACTATCTATAGTTTTGACCCAAGTATCTAAAAAGTAATGACTATCTACAAATTCTAATAATTGCACTATTAATATATTTTTTATAGTGCATTGAGCGTACCTCAGAACCTACCTACCTAGGTTCAAGTTCTCGACTTGAAACAGGTGTTCATATTTTTCTAGAATTATTCCAATATTTGACGATGCTATTATCTTAGCGGTAGCAGGTAGGTGACTGTTGAGTACCTAACAACGGGGTTATTTAAACCCTTGATTAGCGCCCTGATAATGCGATTGACCCCCCTAACTGATTCTCTTAATCAATTAGGGGCTACACCCAGTGGGTGCACTCGCGCCTCTGTCGGATAACAGGAAAGGCCTATTGGGCCCAAGACGGTCCACTCCAAAAAGCGGCCCAAATGCTTAAAAGATACGCCTCATGATAAGCCTGTGACCAAGCCCCTGCGCCCGGGGGGCTCGAGAAGGCTCCGGGCGTTCCCAACATTGGACGACAACGACTCACCAAGGAAGGCCGGGAAGCACGGGCACTCGTCACGCCATCCCAACGCCCACGGCGACATAGGGAATATTCCGCCAGGCTGTGACAAAAGGCCGGAGCCTGACACGCGGACAGAACCATAGGGTTCTAGGCCCTGCCGGAGCTCTGTCTCCCCGTCCACGCGAGGTTGTGTTGGCCACTCCCAGTTCGAGATCACACATGGGTCATGACGCAACGCGACAAGGGTACACGCGCCACCTCTGCATGAGGAAGAAGATGGGCGTGTGAGCCCCTAGGCCAGTCTCTCCTAAGGCAACACCTACCTCTTTGACGTACAATAGACGCCATGGAGAGGGGTGAAGGTAGGTGAGACACAATGACATCTCCAGGCTCTGATGGCAGCTCTAGATTCCTGTAAACGGTGTCAGAGACGACAACGTGTTGTCTTGTCGGCCACGACCATCAGAGAAGGAGACAACACAGATGTCTCCAACGACTCGAAGATTAGGATATAAAACCCTAGGGCTACCTTATTTGCCAAGACATTGATGAACAGCCTTACTCCTTGTACTCCTCTCGCGCCCCCTCCCCCTTGTGATATAAGGGGGACAGAGGCTCCTGTAGAAGGATAGGACTATTGTTTTACACACAGAGGACAATCGTCTTGCACAGCAGGGAAAACCCCCAGAAAACCCTAGATCACTTCTAGCTAGCGCTCTCCTACCATCTCTCTTCCTCTTCCATTGTAAAAACTCGATTGAGCATTCTAACACGAAGCACTCGTTGCTGGACATAGGGCTTAGAAACCCGAACCATGATAAACCTTTGTGTCATGAGTACTAAACCACCGAAGTCCCGCACATCGACTCATCAATCGATCCACAAATTACTCGTCGTGGTTACAAACCCAGAACAACGATGCTCCACTCGACAGTGAGGCACCTATGGTGATTTTGTCAACTTTAAGATTGTTGCCTTATTTTTTTTAAGGTGCTCATAGGGGTCAATTTGTGTGTTTGTTGGCATCTAAATCTATACTTTGTAATTCGTAAAAAAAAATATTTTATATAGAATTTGATCAAACAAATTTGATGTTGTAAATATTGATGTGTTTTTGTATAAATTTAGTTAAACTAGGGACGCTCGACTTATGACAAGCTAAAATGATATATAATTTGGAAAGTTGGAGTAAAATAACGTGCATATATTATATACTAGTCAAAGTGTTAAGTTGGGGACCCTACCAATCTCCTAGACATACGACCAGCTTTTGGAATCAGAGTCAGGGCTCTCCTAAACCTAATGAGCCAACTCCAAGTCAATCTAGAACTGGGTTAGGCTCTGGTTGGTGAGAGTAACGATAGCGTCAGCATAACGTTACGTCTTTTGAGTCACTGGGCTTTCATACTGGTGATCAGGAAAAAAGAAGTCCCAGTGCAATCCTGATTGGTGAATCCTGAGAGCCACATTCGCGCGGATTTCTCCATCAAGACCTCGCTGCTTCGTGGGAACAGGAAAAAAAATGCAATTCAAGTGCAGAGATCACTCTCCTTGACTGTCAGGATCATCAAGTTGGTAACTAGTAGAAACATTCAGCTGAGCATATGGATTTGACCTGCATCATTCATGCACAATGTTACAGCAGGGTCAAAACTGAAAACCCCATACGCGGTGTGGTCACCTTGACCCTGTGCCATGTGTTGCATGACATGCCGCGGCTTCTTGATTGCTACCGAGTATTACGATCATCCGATAGGCCATACATAGGCCCGTGTCCCTGTCCGACGTCTCTTGTGGGACTGAACTTGGAAATTCGTTGCAGGCGAGTTTGAAATGGCAGCTCTGGCCACGTTCTATATTGTCAGTTTGCAACAACCTAATAATGCGTGGAATTCAAGCATAGCAGAGTAGATACTTCTACTCTGCCCTTGTTTAGTTGGGTAATTTTGGATTTTGAGGCTACTGTAGCACGTTTGTTTTTATTTGGCAAATAGTGTTCAAACATGGACTAATTAGACTCAAAACGTTCGTCTCGCAATTTCCCACCAAACTGTGCAATTAGTTTTTATTTTCGTCTACATTTAATGCTCCATGCACGGGCCGCAAACATTCGATGTGATAGATACTGTAGCAACTTTTTAGACTTTGGAGTCAAACTAAATAAGACGTCAATTATCATATCATAGTACTACCAGCTCTCAAGTCAGACTCAGTTTTTTTTTTTTTGTAACAATGAGTCAGACGACCACCAGAAAGCAGAGACCGAAATTTCTGCTGCATCTGCATGTATTGATACTGTTGGTCCTGGAATCTCCAGCACGGGTGAGCTGATCGTTCATCGGTGTTGCCGACCACATACTATGGCTAAAGATAGAAGAAGGGAGGAAGAACAGAGCGCACACACACAGCACAAGCACCAGCGTTGACCGGAGCTCTGCAGAGTAGATGGCAAAACTGAACTCGCTCACTTTGCTGAGTTGCAGTGGGAAGCTATAAATACAAGCCTACACATCTAATGTTAGTACACAGAAATGTCAGGCTACCATGCTGCTACAGTGACTAGATGTGATAGCGGGGCTGACTTTGACGCCTGCCCCTGCTGTGGCTACAGTGCGGCAGGGGAGCCTTTCGGCGCCTGCCCCTGCCGCGGCTACAGTGCAGCGACAGGGAGCCTTTTCGACGCCTGCCCCTGCCGCGGGTTCACACCGATGGTAGAGCAGCAGATTACTTTATAATTCTTTCTCTAATCCTGCTGCTAACCCTACAACCTCCACTATGCCGATCATCTTCTTCAGCTCCGTGAACCGAAGACGGCTGAGTGGCTTGGTGAGGACGTCCGCGAGTAGCCGACCAGTTTCGACGAACTTGATGACGATCTTCCCTCCATCGACACAGTCCCTGAGGAAGTAAAACTTGATGTCGTTGTGCTTGCTCCGGTCGTGGAGAACCGGATTCTTCGCGAAGACGATGGCGGGATAGTTGTCCACCATCAATGCTAGTGGATGAGCTTCTACACCGGTCAGCTCGCCCAGCAGCCGGCGCAGCCACACAGCTTGCCACGCCGCTGTGGCCGCCTCCACGTACTCTGCCTCGCACGTGGACAGCGCCACCGCCTTCTGTTTCAGCGACACCCATGAGATTGGAGCCGACCCGAGTAAGACGAGCACACCAGAAGTGCTCTGCCGTCCGTCGATGTCCCCCACCATGTCTACATCGCTGAACACAGTGAGCTGCAACCCACTTCCGCCAGTTTTGGAGATGATGATCCCCCTAATCCACCATCCCCTTGACGTAGCACAGCAGCCGCTTCACCGCAGCCCAGAGATCCTCTCGAGGATCCTCCATGAAGCGGCGAACGTAATGTCCGGCCTCGTGTGGACTAGGTAGCGCAGACCGCCGACGATGCTCCGGTAGAGTGTTGCATCTACCTTCATCGTGATACTGGCCTTTGTCAGCTTCAACCGCTCCTCTATCGGAGTCACGCACGGCTTGCACTCAGTCATGCCGCTCCGCTCCAATAGCTTCGAGGCGTACGCGCTCTGACCGAGTGTGAGCGCCTCCTTCCCTGTCCCACCTCGATGCCGAGGTAGTAGGAGAGCGCGCCGAGATAACTCATTCAAAAACAAGCCGCCATCTCGCGCTTCAAGCTGTCGATGTCCTCCGCACGCGCGTCGGTGACAATCAAGTCGTCCACATACACGCCGACGACGAGCTCCTCCTTCCCACGTCGCCGCGTGTAGAGCACGTGCTCGGTTGCATACCGCGTGAACCCAAGATCACCCAACGTGGCGTCAAGCTTGGCGTTCCTCGCTCGTGGGGTCTGTCGCAGCCCGTAGAGCGCCTTCCACAGTCGGAGCACCCTGTGCTTCGCTCCCTTGACGGCGAAACCCGAAGGTTGCCTGACGAAGACCGTCTCCGCCAACTCATCATTGAGGAAAGCCGATTTTATGTCTAGGTGATAGACGCGCCAGTCCTTCGCTGCTGCCAAAACCAGCAGCAGTCGGATAGACTCCATGCGCGGTACCGGCGCAAAGACTTCCTCGAAGTCGATGCCCTCACGCTGGACAAAGCCTCGAGTGACGAGGCACGCCTTGTGCTTGACAATGGCGCCACGCTCGTCCCGTTTGACCTTCTACACCCACTTCAGGCCGATCGGACGACATCCTGGAGCTAGATCAAAGAGCTCCTAAGTCTTGTTTTTCTCGATCGCCTTCATCTCCTCCAGCATCGCCTGTCGCCAATTTGCATCGCGCTCGGCCAGCGCGAATGTGGGTGGTTCCTCTGCACTGACGAGAAGCAGTTCTGGGTCATTGAGCAGCCGACCTGCCAGGCCCGAGGACACTGTGCCACCGACGATCTTGTCCTACCTGCGAAACCGCACCTCCTCACCGTCATGAAAAGCATCCACGAACTTTGTGATGTCGTTTGGAGGTGAGGCGAACTCAATCGGCGTCGATGGAGTCCCCTGTTCCACCAGAGTGGTCAGCAATGCACCTGAAGTGCTTGGCACCCCAGCTGTAGTGCTCGGCACTACTCCTGGACCGCTCATCACCACTCCTAGAGTGGTTGGCACCACTGTAGGAGTGCTCGGCACCAATCTTGGAGTGGTCGGCACCACGACAAGACCTCTCGGCTCTACTATGGGAGCATTCGGCACCCATACTGAAGTGGTCGGCACCACTGCAGGACCGCTCGGCACCACTCCTGGAGTGCTCGGCACCCCTCCCGGAGTGCTCAGCACCGCCCTAGGAGTGCTCGGCTCTGTTGCTGGAGTGGTCGGCACCTCTCCAGCGTCTCCACCACGGTGGATGACCAAGTGCTCGACGACAAAGGTGCTAGTGAAGCCGTCAGCTTCCCCCGTGCCTAGACTATCCTAGTCCTAGGCCGCCTTCTCATCGAACACGACGTTGCGCAAGACAACCACCTTGCCTCGGTATGCCTTGGAACCTTCCTCGTAACCTAAGAGCACCATCGGTGTGCTCCTGTACTCTAGCTTGATGAGGACCGGCTTCGTCTTCCTAACATGGCCGATGTAGCCAAATGTACTATGGAAGGACAAGCTCTGCTTGCGCTCATACCAAGCTTCGAACGGTGTCACGCCCTTTAGGGCCTTTGTGGGCGCACGGTTGAGGATGAACACCGTCGTGGTCACTGCCTCACCCTAGAACCTTGCCAGCATGCTCTTGGCATTCATCATGGATCAAGCCATGCCGACCACTGTCTGGTTCCGCCGCTCCACCATGCCATTCTGTTGTGGCGAGTATGGCGCGGTGTGGTGTCGCACCACACCCAGATCCACGCAGTACGCAACAAACTCCATCGAAGTGAATTCGCTGTCATGATCAGTCCGCAGCACGTGTAGCTTCTTGCCGCTCTCCGCCTCCACGTGTGCCTTAAACTTCTTGATTACCTCCACCACCTTGTCCTTGCTCGTCAGGAGTTGCAGCCACATATAGCGACTGAAATCATCCATGAGCAGGAGGAAGTACCGCCAACCACCGTTTGTGGCTAGCGTGATTGGCCCGCAGAGATCGCCGTGGATGAGCTCGAGAGCATCCGCCTCGCGATACTTGGCCGCCTTTGGGAACGACAGCCTCCTCTGCTTCCCGGCCAGACAGCTGTCACACAGCTCGCCTACGTGCGACGTCGCCATCAGGAGAGTGGCCTCATCATCCTCATCAGCCTTCTTCTCTTGCTTGTGATTTGGGCACTCTTTTGTCCAATGGCCTGTCTTCCCACACCGCCGGCAGGCGTTGGGGTCGACCTTCTTTTTCTTCTTCTTCTCCGAAGAAGCCTTGTCACGGTGCTTGCCATCATCACCGCGGCTGGAGTAGGCTTCCCTGAACTTCTTCATCCGGGCAGCCCACTCCTCCTCTGTCAGCAGTAGCTTGCCGCTGTCCGTCGTTGTTGTGGCCTGTTCCATGCGCTCGTCCACCACCCGCAGACGACATGTCATATCCTCAATGGTGAGAGTGGACAAGTACAACATCATCTCTACGGAGAGAGCGATCTGTATGTACTTCACTGGCACGGAGTGGAGGTACTTGGAGACCGCCTTTTCTTCGTCGATGGTGACACCGTGGCTCCTCAGCTTGCTGATGAACGACTGCAGGCGGAGGGAGAAGTTCTCCACCGATTCACCATCCTTGAACTTGAGGGTGGCGTACTCCTGCTTCAACAGCTGGGCCGTCACCTTCTTTGCGCAGTCGGAGTCAACACGCATCGCTGCAATGGCCTCCCACGTCTCCTTAGCAGAGTTCTTCGCCTCTAACGGCTCCCTATACTCTGCTGGCACAGCAGCGAGGATAGCCTCCAGCGCTGACATGTCGTCTTCTTCGTTGTCGGTGCCTTTGTCAATGGCATTCCAGAGCCATCGGGCTCTAAGCTTGACCTTCATGGTCACCGCCCACTCGCCATAGTTGGTGCAAGTCCACGTCGGTCAACTGGTGTCGCTAACCTCCCGCACCGTGCGCACGACGACCTCCTATCGTGGCTGGACAGCCACAGCAGCACCACTGTTGTCGCCCATCTTCAAACTGTATGTCATCGCCAATGGTTAGTCCGTCGACGGCGCTTGTACGGCTCCGATACCACTTGTTGTCTCCGGGATCTTCCGCACGAGTAAGCCGACCGCTCACCGGTGTTGCCGACCACACACTATGACTACTGATAGATGAAGGGAGGGAGAACAAAGCGCACGCACACACAACACAAGCACCAGCGTTGGCCGGAGCTCTGCAGAGGAGATGGCAAAACTGAACTCGCTCACTTTACTGAGTTGCAGTGGAAAGCTATAAATATTACTCTACCGGTCTACCCATCTAATCCTAGTACACAGACATAGTAGGCTGTTAGGCTGCTACAGTGACTAGATTTGATAGCAGAGCTAACTTTGACACCTGTCCCTGCCACGGCTACAGTGCAGCAACAGAAAGCCCTTTCGACATTTGCCCCTGCCACGCGTTCACACCGGCAGATTAGTCTAGAGATACGGCACAGAGCAGTCAACCTCTATCTATCTATATAGTCTTTCCATAGATCCGTCAGTCAGAAGACCGGGATCATCAAATGAAAAGACCCCGCTGACATTAGTGATCAACTTAGATTAATGAAAAGGAGTTTGAGCTAGTCAATTAAGCTCAAAGGTGAGCAATCTCTGAAAAAGTATTGGCAAGCTAGGTTGATCGCAGTCAGCGGTCTGTCTGCATAAATACTCGCTTCAGCAAGACCCACAGCTAGCTACCACAAAAACCCCTCTCGACTCCTACTATATACTTGACCCGATTTCTTTGGTCATCGTCTGAAAATCAAAGATGGCATTCGATCATGACGCCAAGCTGTTCGATGTGCTCGCCAACGGTTACCATCTCAACACACAGCTCCAGGCATTGCTCGGTGGCCGTCCCCTGGACAGCCTCGGCCAGCAGGAGGCCATGGCGTTCAGCCAAGAGCTCTCACGAGTGTTCAAGGTATCCATGTCCATGCTGAACAGTAACACAGTGACAAGAGTGAGGACGGCGCCGGAGATAAGGACCGGCAATAGCTCCGGCGTCATCATTCAGGCGGCGAAAAAGGATAAGCGTGCAAGGTATATGCTGATTACTGAAGGCGTGTGGATTTTGTGTCTTTATCATTTCAACTTTAATTTGTTTACCCTTTTTTCTGAGAAACTTTGCTTGCTTGGTTCGGACTGTGTTTGGATTGGTTATTAATCACGAATATTCACCATGCTGTTGCTAGGAGTGATAGTGGAGAAGTGGTTACTCCCGTCAAGAAGAGTAGAGAAGATGGGGTTACTAGGAAGGAGATTACGGCCTCGCCATACAAGGATGGCTACGAGTGGCGAAAATACGGGCAAAAGAACATTCAGAACTGCAATTTCGTGAGGTGAAAGTCCTATAATCCCTCCAATTCAAGAAAACATGTTGTTTAAGAATTTCTATGAGTAAAACTTTTTTTTAACTTCGACCATCAATATATAACTAAATGTAAGATAGGTTTTCTTCGAAAAAGATGTAAGATAGGTTTATATTAGATTTGTCAGATTTTTTTTCATAACATTATACTATATTTATATGAAAGAAATCATACTTTCAAAGAAATTGCTAGTAAAATAACTGTGGTTCAATTTGTGGTGCTTAGAAGCTAGGGCATGCATTGTCATATGGTGGTGTTATAAAAAAAATATATAAAAATACACTCTCCATCTAGTAAACAATATGGTATCACTCCATCTGTTCCAAATTATAGTTCATTTTAACTTTAAAAAAATACCAAAATCTATAACATCCAATTAGTTTAATTAAATTCTCAATCTAACATGGTTTGACAGTGTATTTATTTGAACATGTAGATATTAGTATTTTTTTAAAGAAAACTTTGTTAGAATTAGAGATGTTTGATTTAGGATAAAACTATAATAAACTTTAGTTAGCTAAAAATTCTCCTAGCTAAACTTTAGCAGGGGTGTTTGGATCCTCCAGCTAATAGACTCAAGTAAATTTTAGCTGAGTTTAGCTAGGTTGAAACAGCTAGACTCAGCTAAACTTTAGCTGGGTTTTTAGCTATGCCGTTTGGATCCCTAGTAGCTAAATTTAGTCAGCTAAAATTTAGTTAGTGGATCAAAACAAATCCTTAGGGGAATCTATTATTCTGAAAATATTAGATACAATAAAAGCGACATGTTCTCCGAAAGGTCGCCATCCGAAGAGGTTGGCTCAATCTACGATCTATGAATGTTTGTTCATAGATCCAGATAATAAACACCTAGTTTAACCAAGAATTGCTGGTGTTTGTAATGACTAATGAGCAGTGCCCCTTGTGTCAATGTAATAAGGGAATTTCATAAGAATTCTGTTGGAATTATGGTGCATATATCCTGCAACAATAAGTCTTTGGTACTCATAGAAATTCGTGCGCCATCTACTACTACAAAGCAAGCCACGCTTGATTACCTGCAACACATTACACATATAATGTCCAAGCCATTTCACAGTAATTAGTAGCTTAACCACGTGACTAAGTCCATTTCACTGCCGTCATCTGGAACACAATGAGATGCACGCTTGCACAGCCGGCCGACGACTTGACCTGCGTCGTCAACATGCATGGTCAAGCTTAACCACCACCCCATCCATCCATAGTACAGTATGGTCGTCCCTTGTCCTGTTTTGGAAACAATTAATGCGCGAGGGCCATGGTCATCAGCAGCGATCTTTCCTAGCCCTTGTTTAGTTACCTCAGAATTTAAATTTTAGCACTATAAAAAAGAAGATTCCTATCACATCAAATTTACGGTACATGCATGGAGTACTAAATGTTGACGAAATCAAAAACTAATTGCACAGTTTGGTTGTACTTTGCGAGATGAACGTTTTGAGCCTAATTAATCAACGATTGGACAATTATTACCAAATACAAAAAAAAAATGCTACATTACGCTACAGTGCCGGAACAGTGCCGGAGAATTCCGGCAGCGCCGATTCTGCAAGGAACTAAACGCGGCCCTAATCGTAGCTGGCAATATCTGCACTCTGCAGGTACTACTTCAGGTGCAGCCGCGACCGGCGCTGCGAAGCGAAGAAGAAGGTGCAGCAGCAGGACGGCAGCCGGGGCCAGCTGTCGCCTCCCATGTTCGAGGTCACCTACGTGAACGAGCACACGTGCCATGTGCTCCGTGCCATTGCCAACGGCGGCGCTGCGAGGATGGCGGCGTCGCCCCGGACCACGAACCGGCCGTACCGCGTCCTCGGGGTTGTGGACACCGCGAGAGACGACGGCGGCGTCCTGTTCGACGATCTGTCCTCGTCGTTTCCCCGCATCGGCGCCGGCGGCAGCGCCCAAGAGAACGAGACCATCGTCTCGTGCCTCGCGGACGTCATCCGCGGAGCCGCGCCGTCGCCGTTGCCGTCCCCGTGGCCGCCAGCAGCCGAAGCGGGCGCAAGCGATCCTGCTGCAGCGTCGTCGTACGTGCCCCCGCCGATGCAGGCCTCCGCCCGACACTCGGCGAGCGTGGGCGTCGCGGATGATGGTGGGGCGATGACGACGATGATGATCGACGACACGGACTTTTGCTGGGATCCCTCGCCGTTTTGTGCGGTGGGGGAGGCCGATCAGGATCAGCTGATGATGGACCACCGCGACATGCACGTGGATGCCGCCCGGCTCGCGGACACGGAGTGGCCGCGGCACACCTCCGCGGGTGCTTGGCGTTGAGGTTAATGGCACTGTGCCCACAAATATACTCAACGCAAAAGCATGCTGCATGGAAGCTGCAGCTAGCAGCATGCAGGGCCACCACATGGATCACTGATGGTGAGTGGTCACAGTGACAGAGGTATCGATCAGACGAACACGAACGATGGTCGATGGAGCCGACCGGCAGGCAAACGGCCGGTCGCTGTAATAGTTGGCTAGAGCTAGCGCGTGAGTGCGTGATCGAGTGTCCTGAAGGCTGAAGTAAGTAGGCAGTCGGTGTTGTCGAGAGTACGTACTGTGGATCAGTGTCGGGTCACTTTATTATGAGTAGTTGTGAGTCGTGAGCCGTGCCACCATGCGTGACGGACCCTGTGTTTGTAGCACTGAGAGACAAAGACAAGAGTGTGTGATGATATATGCAAACACTGAAGTCTGAAACGGTAGTAGTAGTATTTTTTTTTTCAAGTACAAGGTACAGTAGTATTCATTCTCTTCTCTTGTCAGTCATCACGTCGTCCCTTATGGGCTGGGCCGGAATGGAATGATAGAGTGCGACGGCAGCCCGGCCTCAGCACATCTCGGCCCGCAGGCTTATCGAATTAACCGGCCCAATTAACAATTTAACAAAAGGACCGACTTCTGCCCCTCTCCCTCTCTATAGCACACAACTGAGTCGAGGTTGACGAAGACCGGCAGTCAGTGTGAAGTGTGACGATGGTGTGCGGCATGCACGCACGCCTAGCAAGCCAAACGAAACTTCTCAGAATTGAACAGGAACGGACGAAGACCCCCGGCCCGCAGTACGTGTTTGGTGTTGGCGCGGCGTCGCGTCGCGTCCCATCCCGGCCGTAATCCCGGCGCATTCTTTGTCATTCTTTGCGCCTGCACCCACCGAGGTGACATGCACGTTTCGCCGCTTCGTGACAAAACAAACCAAGCATAGTAGGCATAGCCGGCCGGTCCACCCAAAATGGAAGCGAGGCTCCGTCCGGTGTGCGAACGACGGCGGCCGGCCGGCACCTGTTGACGTGGATGGATCGATGCATGTAACACAGCTCCGTTCATGAACGTACGACTGCTCGCTTGGAGTGGAGTGCGCGACAAGCAGGCGTTGACCCTCCGTCCTCTCCGAGGTTGCTTCTTACGCACGGGAGGGATCTGGTTCATGATGTTGGGCCATGTTGCCCACGGAATTGGCGCCGCGGGATTTCCTGGCTACACTGTAGCTACAGTGCGTTTTGTTTTTATTTGTTAATAATTGTTTAATCGTTGACTAATTAGGCTCAAAACGTTCGTCTCGCAAAGTACAACCAAACTGTGCAATTAGTTTTTGATTTCGTCAACATTTAGTACTCCATGCATATACCGCAAGTTTGATGTGACGGGAAATCTTCTTTTTGCATAGTGCCAAATTTAGGAATTTAGGGGAACTAAACATGGCCTTGATCGAAAATGGGACGGACGGGCAGTGACGACCAGTGGCGGACCCAGTGGGTAGCCTGGATAGGCCCAGGACTACCCACAAATTTGGCCCAAAATTCTATTACTACTCTTGAGAAACTGGCCCAAATGCTCTCTTTCGTCTCAGCCCAGGCCGAAGACATCGTAAATCCACAAGCTCTTCAAAATAATAACGGGGAGAATCGAACCGGGGACCTCTCCTTTCGGCCTTGATCGAAAATGGGTTGGATAGGCAATGACGATTTAATGCAAAATATCCTTAATTAATCACTCCTTGTATGCTAAATCATGTCCTAAACGATTTTCTTTACCAGTATGGAGGGAGTATTTATGTATTTTTTACTAGGACTACCTGGTGTCAGATCCTGGGTCCGCCAACTGGTGACGACAATGCATGCACTTAATAGAACCGACCGACCGATGTTTCTGTACTGTGGAATGGAAATATGGAATCCATGGATCAGTTATCTCTTTCTCCCAGGGTGGAAGAAGCTCCTCTTGATGCTACACGTTTGTGGCGCCTCCAAGCAGATTAGGCCGCGCCTCTTCGAGCAAGTTCGTGGACAAACCGCGAAGCTTCCGATTCCGACAAGGATTATCAATCGAACGGTCTCTCCTGTGAAATAAATACTCCTACGAGTACTACGTATTTGGTTCTGATCACTATGTCGTATGTACACATGTAGATACGCAGCTCTCGGCCCGAATAACAGAGCTTGGATTCCCATGCTACGTATATATGCCCGTACATATCTACATACGTACTCACTCGGCCGGCGTAGCCATGCCAGACAGCTGCGACGAGAGGGATCGCGAAAGGCAGGGACTGGGACAGCTAGCGAGTGAGCACAGGAGAAAAGGCGTTGGCTACAGCGGCTCAATGTTTTGCACGCGCGGAAAACCAAAGGGGACCGGGCTTCGCCATCATCCACACACTTGGCCATCCGGGCGCAAGTGGGGAGGAGCACGGAACGCGAACGGCGAACGCAGACCCGCATGACGTCGACGTAGCGGCCGCAGCGTGACGCCCGCGTCCCTGATGTCACCGTCAGAGCTCAGCCCGGCAGCCCAGCGCTGCCCGCGCGCGCGCGTCAGCAGCCATTCCCCAGATGGATCCGGCTGCTCATCGGTGTCAGCCGGATGCTGGGCGCGCAGACCGATAAGCCGTAGTGGGGCCTTGTTTAGCTATCCATTCCTTTCCAGATGGATCCGGCTGCTCATCGGTGTCAGCCGGATGCTGGGCGCGCAGACCGATAAGCCGTAGTGGATGTATGATCTGCGTGGTCGGGGTCGGGTACTCGGGTGACGTCTGACGCGGGTCTATAGCGGCAAACCGCGGCTCCAGTGCCCACCGCGTGCGTTCACACCAGGAACCACGTCCACGAAGTACCAGATTGTTCATGTTGCTGCTCCTTTATTTCTTTTTATATATTATACTCCCTATATTCCAAATTATAAGTGGTTTTGACCGTTTTTTTACATTTATTTTATTATACATCTAGATATAATAATATGTCTAGATACATAATAAAATAATGAATCAAAAATATCAAAATGACTTATAATTTGGAACGAAGAGAGTATATACTACTACTCCAATAAAATTGGCCCGTTCAAACTGCAACTCACATTGTTTTTTCAAAAACTGCAACGCACTGGTACGCCCATCAGCAGCAAAAGTGAGAACTTGCTCGCTCAGACCGGAAAGGTCACCATGGCGACGGTCGCAAATCATTGGAGAATACAGGGTCTTGTCTTCATGTTGGAGCTTTATCTTGTTGAATTCCAGCACCACGCCTTCTGTTTTGGCTGTGCTTTTGATTTCGTGGTCTAGCTAGTGTGGTAGTATGAGTACTCAGGCCGAAAGGGGCCATGATGAGCCATGTCCCTCCTTTTTTGACTTTTTCCTTGCTATCGCGCTTAATCATATATGTGTATAACCACTTGTATCAAAGGGGTTGCCATTTAAGCATGTGTGTCCACGGTTGGGCCCCCTAAGAACATGCTCAAGTTCTATTATTATACATGGAATAAATGACTGATAAAGTGCCACACAAATTTTAATAATGTAGAAAGAACAAAAAGATGTTCTTAAAAGGATAAAGTGAGTTGAATACCCCACTATGCTTCATGATTCCGAGCCTTGGGGGACGGGGCATACATGACATTGAAAGTTTGTAACATACCACAAAAGCTATGTTATATTTTTTTTGAGAAAATCTGAACTTTTTCACAAAAAAATCTTATATGAGCATGTGAATGCATGTCCATGCAAGTCAAGCTGATTAGGGAATACACCTTTGTTTACCGATATCATTTAGTATACTAGACCAAAACGAGTGATCAGGGCATTGTCATCAAGTATCATCACCGGTGATATGGACTTGGTACCCCCTATTGATCATACCTATGGTGGGTACTTTGAGCATCCTCCGGACTTGAGGAGTTCAGTGGCGGTTACTTGTAATAGATATATATATTAGTGTTTGTGCACATTTTAGAGAGAGGTGCTTTGGTCAAATTGATTAAGGGTTAAGTTGGTATAACCATGCTTCATGGGCCTAAGTGAACGCACATTCCATATGTAAAAGACTGACAAGGCTCACCCCAAGACTAGTAAGGATTGGCACCAAGGATGATATTGGATCACTATGATGGTCATACGCCACACTAAGCATGCTTTTCTGTGAGTAAAGTTTGACAAACCCTATATAGTTTGAACTATCCATATAGGTGCGTCCTCGGTCATGTGTTTGTTACCCTAACTATATTACTATAGTATTCAACCTCCTATTCTGTTGAGATGTGTCTTCTTTTAGCCGATGAGATAATGTTGAGATTTTTCATTTCCTTATCGGCTTGATTTGGGATTTTTTGACCTTCTGTCCATATTGGTGAGAATATCTTGAGATGGAAACTTGGATATGAGATACCTATACTTGCCACATGTTCTATTGCTACATAGGAAAATTATATAGCTATCCGCATGAAACCCTATCACACTCCTTCGAATTGCTTTGCTCTTAAGTGATTCACATTGATTACTTCTTTTCTGACTTATTATATTGTTGCCTGCTTTTAGACTTTGAGCAAGTTATGTCTTTAGTGCTAGTGAGGATGATTGAAGTTAGAAAGTTTTTGTTCTTCCCCAATAGATGCATGTGGCAATGGAATATACCTTAGTTCTACAATGATGTTTTGTCTCATATATTTGTACATAATTCGAGTCTTGTGCACTTGTGCCGGCTTATGACAAATGATATTAATGAATATATATGCGATTTTTTTATTGTTATATATAGATGATAAGATATCCTCTGATATAGGAATTGTTCATGGTGGCCAATATATCCTAGGACTATCAAAGAGGAACAGAGAGTCGATTTTGATTCATAAATTTGCTTTCAGTTGACATACCTTATGCTGTACATTGTGGTTGGGGTGACCATTTATGGATTATATTCCCTTTGTAAGGGACAAATTCACTTGTTCCATTGGAGTTATTTTCTATGAAACAAAGTTATTTTGAAGCATCTGTAAAATGTTGATGGGATCATATAAGACTATCCATAGCATGTTTGATGCTTGAAACATCACCCAATCATAGGTATTCGATTTTAGCTTTAGCTACAATGCGTAAGCATCGATGTGGGCCCTATATGTTACAAACAAACAAGCAGAAAATGTACCAGCCTTGTATGTTGGCATGTGCATTTGCATTTACTGCCATGCGGGCCCATGAGCCATCATGCACCGGATAGAGAAGAAATGTCAATGTTGGGAATCTTTTTTCCAACACTGCATACCATAGTGTGTTGCACAAGGTTAAAAGATAGAGTTGAGTTCCAAGCATCGGTAGAAGACCCACATTGTGGCTAGTCTAACCTAGCTCGATAAATGAATGTAGCGTCCATCACTATGTTTGTGCATAATTCTAGACAAAAGAAGAGGATACCAACATGAAGTGTGGCGGAAGGGCTTGCGAGGCTAACGATGATACGGCTGGCAAGATGCAACAACTTGAGCCATCGATGGCAAACTGAGCGTAACTTGATTGGTTAGGTTGCCTATGGTGAAATCTACGAACATAGGTGCAAGTCCTTGACATGACATATGTGGTCATATTTTTGTGGATTTATTCTAGAATTTAATAGTATTATTCTTTAAGTGAACGACGTCGTGTAATGTGATTAGAAAAATACCACCAATGTGGCACTAAAGGTCAAGTGATGACAAAGGGTAAGGGGAAGATAACCGTTAGGGTTTAGCATAATTGACCGAAGGTCGAACCAAACTAACCGAGACTGGACCGAAGTTTTCGGTCACTAGTTTGGTCTTGAGTCCATACTACCCAAACTTATTACAGTTAGTTCGGTTAATCCCATGCTTTGTAGTTCACGCATGGCTTTCTCTAACGAAGCTAATGCCGAATTAAAGAGCTTAAACGGAAATACACAGGAGGTGACCAACATACGGCTGCGAGAGAGGAGGCAAACCATGCGATCAGATCAGCACCACGACTTCAGTTATATGGCTCGGGTAACCAAATATTTGGATTTTGTTGAGATAATGTGTACTTTGAACTATTTTTAGTCATATAGTTTTCATTCTAATGAGTTTATATCACTCTTATCATTTTGTTTTATCTATATGTTGTCTTGTCATTTTTGCCTTGAAATCGAAATAAAATATTGCTAATTAAGATTTGCTAAAAAATATGCTATTTAGTGGTTGTTAGTCTTGTCCGGTTAATTAGTTTGGACATGACTGAGGCCGAACTAAACTAACCGAGGTCGAACTTACCTGGTCCATCCTAAGTTTTAAAACTATGTTTTTAGATGTCTAACTTCCAAAATAACCGAAGAACCCATTGGTTCGCGGTTTGGTTGGACTGAATGGTCACCCCTAGTAACCTGATTGGACTGATGTTGAGCGGGAGAGGGTGGTGGGTGTGGATTGATCGGTTGGCTGTGTTTAATACACTTGAGGTGGTGGAGTGATTACTAGTCATTGGATTTTCAAAAGGCTGCTAACAAAATTGACAAAAAATTAAGAATATGCTGGTCTTTTTTTTTCTTTTTATCCATAGTGGTACATGTAAAACATTGTACACTTGTAATAGTGAAACAAAAGAAGGAACTACATGACATCAATTGATAGTTCTACATGCTAATATACGTGCTGATTAACATAAAAAAAGCACTTGAAAATTAATCACGCCGGCCTGACCAAAACTTAACTAGAGATACGCAAACCCCGGCTGTAAGCTACTGCAAGTGTATGTATTTACTACTGCTAGATAAGTACTATAGATAGATATAGTACTATGACAGTATTCTATGACGATGCGGTACGTACGCATATGCTTTATCAGACTGTTCATTGGCTTGGTTTTGGTAGGAGAACTTATCAATCGGTATCGGTGTTTTTCTCTTCAATAAATCAAAGACCACCGAACTTATCAAAGATAAAACCAACCATCCAACAGGCCCGTTGTATATATATCAGTAGCAGTCGTTATAGATCACGCACACCAAAGGTTCAGTGACCCGTCTCGCCCGATTAAACTATCTCGGGCCTGACACGTACTACGTTTCGCGAGAAGATGCATGTGGTGCGCCTGCGCGGCTGCGCTGCGCCCTCTTATAAAAACGGAAAACCGTCGCCAGGTAGGTCGTAGGAATCGCCGAAACACAGCGCGTCCGTCACATCGTAGTCCATGACATCCAGCCCCGCCACGTCCACATCAATGATGCGCGGCATCTCACCGGGCGCGTCAACGCCCGCAGGCGCGTCGTCGCGCGTGCGGGCCCGCGGCGGCGGCTCCTGCTGATGCCCCGCGTTAACGGCGACGGCGGCGGCGGTGGTTCCGCTTCCCGCAGGAGACTGCTGCTGGTGGCCCCCCAGCACGCAGGCGAGCGACGAGACGAACAGCCGGCGCTCGTGCTCCTCCTGGACGCCGCGTTCGTCCAGCAGCGCGCGGGCGCCTGCCTGGCCGGCCTGCTGGCGTGCCATCACCAGCCCGGACAGGTCGTCCAGCGGCATCATCCCCGAGGTCGCCGCCGTGTCGCACGTGTGGTCGTTGAAGTACATGACGACGTACTGGGGCGGGTCGTCGTTGCTGCACTGCTGCACCTGCTTGGTGGCCCGGCAGTTGCGCTCGCGGTGGAAGCTGCACTTGAAGTAGCACCTGCGCAGCACGTGCGTACAAAAGTGAGCACAGCAGGTAGGACAACACGCTTACTTGTTGGAATCAGATCAGCCTATCCATCCCAGCACATGGCCGCTAAATAAGGCAGGAACTATCGCATCCGACGTCACTAGCTGTGACCTAAGGAAGATGCCTCGAGTAAAATACTACTGGCACTACACGTCCCTTACCGAGGTCTAAGCTACAAGATTATAGTTCCACACATGGGCAAAATTAAATCACAGTGGTAATAGCAAAGCACGTACTACTAATCTACGCACACGAGAAGTACACCGGGCGGAGATGTTACTTTCGGGGACAAAAAGCTGGTCAAGAAAAAAAAATGTAGAAAAAGAAAAGGCATAGCGCTAGTTTAATTTACTTGGAAGATAAAACATGCGTCAACATCAGAATGATCTCTAATCAACAGCTTTTGCTAGAGTAGAGGCCTAATCAAACTTTTTATTAAATGGTTTTCAAATGTGTGGGCGATTCGTTCTGCTGGCCGCTCAAGAATCTTTAAAGGCGAACACACACACGGCCGGGGTGCGTGTCAACTCGATCAAACGGCTTTTTACGCTTGTCTCTTGCGTTCCCGGCGCCACGCGTCGCTATCCACGACAACATCCACATCCAATCCAATTCCGGCCCGTCCATCCAGAGGAACACCGTGGCTAGCACGCTGCCTACCTCTAGATGCGTCACGCTCACTAATCTTACCCTGCTTGCAGGTTACACTAGTTTGGTACTAGTATATATATGCACTCCACGAGTAGAACGGTCACAGTATATCTACTACCTCCGTCGTGAAATACAGTAGATTTTCCTTTATACTAAGTCAAACCATTCTAAATTTAATCTAATTTATAGAAAGATATTTACGACATCAAATAGGCTTCATTAGATACATTATGAAATGTATTTTTATAATTAATCTCTTTGATATGGTAGAGGTTAGCATTCTTCTCTACAAACTTAGTTAAAATTAAGATAGCTTGACTTAGAACAACTGAAAATGCATCCGTTGATTATATTCCAGGGCTAATATATGGAGTAGTTGATTTCTTATTTTTGTACTACTACTAAGCTAGCAAGAAGTACTATGCCAAGTAGGAAGAGGATATTATGGACCTCGGGAACTGCGTCTTGGTGATCCTCTTCTGGCCGTACTTCCTCCACTGGTGCCCATCGTTGTGCGGCGAGGATGTCGTCCTTTGCCTGTGCCGAGCAAAATGCACACGCGAACAACCGCGACAGATTAGCTAGATCAGCGTGCAATAATTTGTTAGAACAAATTAAGCATCGCCCCACCGCCACCAGTGGGAGCTGGCTCATTTCTCTGTTGCGCAGGCAGGGCGGGCAGCGGACAACTCACTCTCTTGGAATGCTGTCGTCCCGACTCCGGCGCGGCGGGGCCAGGGCAGGCGCGGGCGCCATTTCCATCGTCGGCGGCGGTTGGGACGACGGCGGGGCGCGGGCGGGCGAGCTCATGATGGTGAGGCAGACGGTGAAGGCGCGGGACACCTCCTGCAGGATGAATGCGGCGGTGGCCTCGGCCTGGCCCTGCCCGCGCAGCGCGCGAAGGGCCTCCGCCCGCAGCTGCGCCGTCAGCTCGTGGCCCCGCGTCAGCTCGCGGATCACCACCTCGTGCTCGTCCTCCGAGGCCGAGCTGCTGCTGCCGCTGCCGCCGCCGTTCACGGCGAGGCGGGACTGCGTCTGCATGGCTGCGAGCCGCCGGCCGGGATGTGAGAGTCCGTTGTTCAGCAGCAGCAGCCGGACTGTGCGAGTTCGTTGTGCTTTGGCCTGTGCGAATCCGTGTTAGTTTTGTTTGTTGGTAAGGAAAATATCGATCAGAGTACACAAAAGCAAGCTTGGCAAAGCTTAGGAGGGGTTGGGGCGTTGGGCAGAAGTAGACGAAGAGGCGTTCTTCCAGCTTTTATATAGGGAAGAGGGAAGGCCTGGCCTGGGAAGGCCGGGAAACGCGGGAATAAGTCTCGCGGCAGCTGCACAGCTCAGAACGAGCTGGAGTGCTGGTTTGGTGGCGGTAAACAGCCAACAGGGGGCACGTTCCGCTTCCACGGCTCACGCGGAGTAGTGGACTTGGGCAGGACCGTACAGCAAGTCGTTTTATAAGAGCTTGTTTGGCGAGGCTGACTCCGGCTCCTAGCATCACTATAGCACTACTACATAATATAAGGAGGCGATGAAGTCATCCATATTAGTTTCACCGGCGCTCTCGGTTCATTTTTAGATTATCGAAGTTGGAGTATATTTTTGCTAAATTGCGAAACAATGCTAAACATTAAACTATGGATAGAGTCGGAGCCCCTAGAAGCCGATGAGAGCTACCTCTGCATGAAGAATACATGGCTCTCATTTCAATATCACCCTATCATGTGCATATATCTTTCCAAATTGAGAAACTAGATATGGGATTGTAAACATCCAGAAAATTTTAACGATCACATCACATCAATTGATTCAATACTTTCTGCTTGAACATCAAATCAACTGTGGAATGAAGCGCGCTAAATCGGATCTAGCCCTAGCCAGGTCCGTAAAATCCACCAATTTATTTTTTATATATACTAAAAAGTAGGGGCGCAGTCAAGGATTTAGATATAGGGAGAGCAGTTCGCCAATTGTCGACAAAAAAATCTGGGATACCGGTTCTAGATATTGATGTTGGTTTAAAAAATTATTGATCTTGATGTTGGCTTAAAAACAATAAATCATCTTTAATCTCTTTCTTTCTTTTCTTCATTTCTAACAAGTCTTAATTCTCTAAATTGAAGATAAAAGGAAGATTCTTCATAAAGCCAAAGGTTTTCATGATATTTATTTTATCTAGACAATAGATATAACTTGAGAAAAAATAATAGGGTAATAGGAAGATATATTTAAAGAACTTTACAACTAATTTTGTTAGTTGCTTCTAGAACGCATATACTCTTTAAAAGAATAGAAATAGTACAGCAGCTGGTCAGCTACATTTTAGAACAGTACCAAATTCCTTGATGCTGGTAATAGTAGCAGGTCTCAGACCAGTACCAAATTCCTTGATCCAGAATTAAGATGTCTTTTCCCCACATTTTAGAACAAGGACGAATTTGTGGTCAATGTACCAGCACGTACACAGCCCGTGTTGACATTTGACGACGACGACTACATTTTTCCTCCAAGGAATGTTGACAACTTCAAGTACTACGTTGGCATCCGTATCTATACATGGATACTACTGAACGTCTTCTTTGTTCCTGACAGGTTCACTACTGGAAACAACGAATACCAAAAGGCAAGAACAATGGCCAACGGGTAATCGGGGAAATTATGAATGCCTAACGGTTAATGTGTTACCAATGGTTACAAATTGCACGGTCAGTCCTTATGTCAAATAACCAACCATATAAAGTATTATTGACGATTACTTGTTGATCAGTTGGGCATTAGACTAGATGGTCAACTGGGTAAATTAATTTCCAATGATCTCGTTTCGACACATGGCAATTGTAGTAATACCCAATTGTCGGAGTTATAACCCTGGGGTGTCCCAAGGCACCGATTAGTTAGCAGGCCGCGTGGCCCACAATTTAGCAGCTAACGATGGCCCGAACGACTGAGGCCCAGCGAAAGCCAAGCTAGCGAGCCAGCCGCCGAGGCTAGGGTCATCCCCGACCACTTCCACCCGCCTTAGTACACGACACACGCAAGACGCACGGCCTCTCCCCGTCACGACCCCCGGAAGGGATGAGGGGAGGTCGAACGCAACCAGACACGCCTGCTCTGACTAGAGGGGACGGTAGTCACCTTGGCCCGGTCAGACACCATCCATGTGCCACGCCGCACCGACGAGACAACACCGCACCGTGGTGGCAACGAGTACGATACCTACCGTCCAAATACAGACCGACTAGACGATTGTATGATCTCACCCACTACGGGATGGGATCCACGACAAGGGACTTGACGAAAAGGCCATCCAGACCGACAGAGTGCCCCGACCCCGACGATCGGGGTCATGGCCCTCGGCCCCGAGAAGCGACCAAGCGAACGACAACCCAGGGCAGCTACCTACTTCGGGTACGACGCCCCGGGGAACCAGGAGACGATCACGAAGGCCACGACGGACACCGCGTTGCATAGGACGGCTGACGAACCGCCATCGAGGCTACAATGCCGCCACGGTCGGCACAGTAGCGCCACGCCACATCCTGCCACAACCGGCCAGAAGTCCATGATGATAGTCATGACTGGACGTGCATCAGAAGACGGCGTAGCTTGCAAGCCAAGTTAGCTAGGCCCTTCCTCAGGCTCTCGACCCTTCGATCAGGAGAACCTCCTCTTTGTACAAGCCTTGGCCCCGAACTCTATATAAGGGCAGCCAGGGCACCCATCTCGGGACGATTTTAGATCCTCTACCATTCCATTCATTCACCATTGTAGTAGGGCTCCTAGAGCTTCTCTTCGGGCAGCCCTTCGCCTAGCATAGGTCATTCCATCTCTTCCACCTTTCTTGCACCCCCCATTGCAAGAACTTCAGAGTATTCAAGCGAGGAACATGCACTCGGTCATCTCTGAGACTGGACATAGGGCTCTGGCCTGAACCAGTATAAATTCTCGTGTCTATTAGATGCTACCATAGTCTTCCTATAGCAGTGCGGCAATCTTATAAGTTTACTAGTCTGGTTTACAAAACACCGACAGTTGACGCGCCAGGTAGGGGATAGTCACGCACTCTCGTTTGTTGAGAAGGAAGCGATGGCTCCTCGTACTGTCGGTGAACTCGCTGCTGGAATGGCCCACAGCGGCCACATCAGCCGTAAAAACTACAAGTTCATCAGCATCAAAGGGCCAACACCCGCGGCCGCCTGCGGCTACGACCCAAACCTCTGCCATAGAGATCCAGGACATGTAGCCCACAACGGACACACTCTCGGAACTGCCTCTGATGGCAACATCCTAGAGTTCACCAACCCAGAGGGGCCAGTACCCTCGCTCACCGTCGGCCGTGGCCAGGTCTCCCTTTTGGGAAACTAGAGGTCCACAACTCACAACGAACTTGCCCTAGGAATGGCCTCAACAGACCACATCCTTCTAGGAAACCACGCGGTTAACCGCACCGAAGGGCCGACGCCCGTGTCCACCCTCTGTTGTGACCCGGACCTCCGTCCCATAGGTCTGGATCCCACGGTCTACGGCGGACACACTCTTGGAACTACCCTCGGGGTTGCATCCTGGAGTGCACCCGCGTAAGGGCCCCAATGCCCTCTCTCATTACTGGCCATAGCCGAGACTTCCACCTGAGAGGCCAGACGTCCACGGCTCACGGTGATCTCACCCAAGGCATGGCCCATGGTGGCCACATCCTTTTAGGGAACCACGAGATCGCCCGAACCAACAGGGCAACGCTCGTCATCTGCTCATACCCTGTCCAGGCTCGTCGCATGGCAAAACTAGACTCAACGGTCGAACCACGCCCTGGACAGCGCCTCAGCCGTTAGCGAGACGCAACGAGCCGGGGCGCGCACGAGCAGCAGAATCAACCACCGCCACACAGTGGCATCACAGGTAATCGAGATGTCGGCCGGCGCCATGCCACACAAGACTAGGCCTGGAGCCTAGATCCGATCCTGCGTAACGAAGGAGTCGCACGAGACATTTCCGCAAGCTGTTAGCCGTCGCTCGGATGCACGTGCACCCGAGGAAGTAGGGACCCCCAAGCACACTGCGCACCGCAACGAGCAGATCGAACCATGATGCACTCAAAGCCAGCTCCCACAGTGATAGGTCACGACGGCTCCCTATCGGAAGCGGAAACCACACCCAGAGGCGAAGACGTGGCAGCAACGACATCGTCGCACCGGATGGACTCGAGCTCAGGAACACACAAGCGCTACCGGCCAGAAGCTACATAAAGCCGATGTGAAGAAGTCATCCCCGGGGGCTCGTGAATCCTTCGAGGACGTTAAGCTAGCAGGGACCAGCCCGCGGTAGCCTAAGAAGCTTATCCATGCCAGCCATGACCGTTCCAAGCCATGACGTGGCATCCCCATCGACTCATGACCCAGGGGTTATGACGACCTCATCGCAAGCAAGCGCTCAGGGGCTCGCCGCAACCCGAGCAACGACGACCAGTCCCACGACAACTTCCGATACATCGATCAGTCACATTCACTTTGACCTTGACCTCTCTGCCCTAACATGTCCACATACACATGTAGGCTCGCTCTCAGCTCCAAAAAATTGCAACTAACTCATGGAGCGAGCCACGGAACAGCGCGCTCGAAACCCCCTATTCTAGGGCCTCTTGGATCCATGAGTGACTCGATCTAGCTCGGGCCAGCAGCTGGACATGAGTCACTCGTGGAGGCTGCACACGAGGGCGCATATACATGTCCCACGATGTAGCACTACTTGTCACCGTCCCAGCGACCCTTTCCCAAGCTTCTTCTGATCGCTCCCCGCGCCACGATGAGCCGGTGACCCGCATCCTGACTTCTCGCGTAGGTCGCCTCAGCCAACCCAACAGACTAGCTCCTAGGCAAGGCCAGGCACCCACGCATGAGCCTGAGAGGAAATAGGAAACTCGTTTGCTCAGGACCAAGGGAGCAAAAGGAAGGGGGCTCAGGTCATTCTCTTACTTTCTTCTCACATCGTGCTGGATTTGCGATCATCCTCCGCCGTCCTATCATTCCAACGGATCACACACATTTTAGCCCCGT